GTGTTGCTTCATCTTCTCTCCTTCTTTCTTTCTCTTTCCTCCATCTTTCATTCTCTCTTTCTTCTCTCTTTGCTCTCTACTGCTCCCTCTCCCCGTTCAATTTGGCCCCTCTCCCCGTTCAATTTGGCCCCTCTCCCCGTTCAATTTGGCCCCTCTCCTCCTTCCCCAGTAACTTCCTGTGACCTTACTGACACACAAAATGACCTACGTGAACTGTACCGGGTTTGTATTCTATCAGTCATAGCAGCTTAGTGCCACCACCTGCGGTCTATGTTCTCCAATCTTGAAGGATGTGTTATAGCTGCTGCAGTGGACAGGTTCTGACTCATGTATATATGAGAACACTCATATGTATATGTATAGTGATATATGTAAATGATATATTATGTAAATATTCTCAGGCTTTCCATTCCTTGTATTATGTGTTACATTTAGGGTGTTGTAGTATAGTTTTATAAGATGCTGACAAAATGTGAAACTCTAATAGATCACAATAAGCTTTTTGTGACGCTTCCTTCCCAGGTATATATCTACCATAGTAGACTGTACAAGGGCACCAGTCTTATAGCAATCGCCTCCCAATGGCTCCCTCGCGGGTGTGCTCAGCTTTGCACGGATGATCAGGGATCTTAAAATAATTTTAGATCTATAACCTTCATTTTGTGTTGACTTTTTTTGGGGGGTCATTTTACCAAGAAGCGAGGCTGTGATGTCACTTCTGGTGCCATATTACATTCTGTTCGTTGCCAACAAATTTGCTGCCACTCATTAAAGTGCTTTTTTTTCAGTTTTGGATAGAGTGAAGGGGGATTAGAACTCCTGTCATGTTTTTATTGCTGTCTGTGTCCACCGTTTTGGAAGATTTGATTGCCCTAGTGACTGTTCTCTCAGAAAGTGAAAGAAAACCCAAAATTTTGAGATGTCATCAGAAGCGGAATAGATGGGAAAATCTTCCAATGGGGACATTGGTCTTGCTGATCACCAGGGATTTCTCTTACTTTGGATGGATTCCCTCTCACTTCCTGTTGCGGCAATGACAGCAAGTGAAGGGAAATCTATCCAATGGCAGTTTAGAAACATTGAGCAGCTCTACCCTCTTGTCTCCAAGCCCACTGCTTGAACCTCGGTGCCCGGTAAAGCTTCCGCTGGAGCCTTCACTGAGCAATAGGTGAAAAACCGGCACTCGTGAGGTGAGCCATCCATCCAGAACTTTATTCGTAAAAAGGCATAACAGCAGAAAACAAACAATCTCCCCAATGGGACACATGGCAAAAAAAACAAATGCTGACAGGGGTTTAATCCTCCCTTACTCTATTCAGTACTAAAATACTTGGCTTCCGTTCAGCATTCATTTTTTGGAGAAAGTATTCCTGAGTGTGCAGCTTGTACATGTAAGCTCAGTATTAGGTATGAAGTGCCTCAGTTATATCAGTTGTTGCTGAACAGTCTGATACCTTGGACCAGGGGTGCCCACAATTTTTGTGTTTTAAGATCTACTTTTCAAATGACGAGCTACATGAGATCTACCAACAAAAAAAAAAACCTCTCTCGCTCTCGCTCTCTCTCTCCTGGCTCTCTCTCTTCCTTCTCTTGGCTGTCTCTCCTTGCGCTCTCTCTCCTGACTCACCTTGCTGTATTAAGTGGCCACCATTCACACCCTTCGTGATCTACCAGCATCAGCTTTAAGAGCTACTGGTAGATCACGATCTACCTAATGGGCATCCCTGCCTTGGACTCTTGAATATTACCTCAACTTACAAACTCTTCCATTGTGTGTGACAGGTACTCTTTTAGCACATTATGTAGATTTATGAGTTGACTTCTCTTAAAGATTGAAGTGTAATTAAAGATTGCTGTAGAATTTCATTTTCTTTTGACGTTTCCCACCTTTCCAGGCGTAACTGGAATGAGATCCTAGATGTGAGAACCATTTAAAGTGTGGCAGTGAAAAGAATGATATTGTAAAAGACCAGTAACCCATTCCAACCAATCAGTGTTCACTTTTTAACTGTCCTGACTGCTGTAAACTGAAAGCGGATTGGTTGACGTGGTATCTTTTTTTTCCTTTTGCTTGTTAAAATGTATGAACTGGTGTCATTTTTTGTATATCTTTGTGTGAGAGTGTACGTGATGTGTCATTCAATGGTATACCTGACATATTAGATCCTAAAGCTTCCAAAAATAATATGGGCATTCATTTATCAAATATATATTTTTGCTAATAAAGAGGATTTAAAAATCAGCTGGATAATGAAAGGGAAGTGTTGGCGGGGGTGGGCTGTGCTTAAGAAATGGCACCATTTTCAATGGTAGCCTCCACTGTGCTAGATAACAGATGTCCTGACAGGTTCCAGTTAATTAAGGGTAGGTAACCTCCGCACACCAGCTGTTGTTGGGCTACAAGTCCCATGAGGCACTGGTCAGTGAAGAAAGGCCTCCCTGACAGTGATCAGTGGAGAAGAGCCCCTCATAACATTGGTGGTCAGTGGAAAGGGGTCAACCAACCCCCTTCTCCACCATACATGGATAAGCTGATGCCAACAGAACAATAAGCTTGTTTCAAAGTGCAAAGCAGCTCTTTTCATTGATTTGGACTTTGAAACAAGAATGCTGGTGTGCCGTTGACATATGTTCACCATTCCTTACATGGTTTCTGGAGAAGTGATCCTTAAACTGATGTTCTATGGAGAAGAACCCACCTCTTACACTGGGAGTGAGTGAAGACATCCCCCCGCCCCCCCTCACATTTGTGGTCACTGGTCTCTGCTATCAACAGTTACTTACTGAGAGATAAAAGGCGAGACTCCACTGGTTTCTCACCACTGGCTCTGCTATAGGACTCCAACCCTGGAACTCTGCAGCAACCATCAGGTGGGTGGTCAGTGCCAACGAACCCCTAACAACCTTAAAAAGAAACCCCGGATTCCACAGAATGCTGGTTAAAACTAGGAGGACAAATACTCAAACGTAGATCAGAAGTAACGTCCTCTGTGGTCTTCCATAAGTGGATAGATCTTGTTGTGTACCAACCCAGTAAATGCATGGTAAAGATTCCCATACAGATGACAATCTTGGCTTCCTAATTAATATTCCATAAATAGAAACAAGTATGATATAAAGTAGGATCTGGACAACTTAGTTGAAACTGAATGAAGTAGTACGATCTGGCTGACGCAGTAGGATCTGGGTGACATAGGGGTTGGGCGATGTAGGATCTGGGCGACGTAGTAGAATCTGGGCGACGTAGTAGAATCTAGGTGCCATACTAGGATCTGGGTGACGTAGTAGAATCTGGGTGACATAGGGGTTGGGTGACTTAGTAGGATCTGGGTGACGTAGTAGGATCTGGGTGACGTAGTAGGGTCTGGGTGACGTAGTAGGATCTGGGTGACGTAGTGGGGTCTGGGTGACGTAGTGGGGTCTGGGTAGCGTAGTAGGATCTGGATGACGTAGTGGGGTCTGGGTGACTTAGTGGGATCTTGGTGACGTAGTAGGATCTGGATGACATAGTAGGATCTTGGTGACGTAGGAGGATCTTGGTGACGTAGTAGGATCTGGGTGACGTAGTAGGATCTGGGTGACGTAGTAGGATCTGGGTGACGTAGTAGGATCTGGGTGACGTAGTAGGATCTGGGTGACGTAGTGGGGTCTGGGTGACGTAGTGGAGTTTAGGTGACGTAGTAGGGTCTGGGTGACGTGGTAGGATCTTGGTGACGTAGTAGGATCTTGGTGACGTAGTAGGATCTTGGTGACGTAGTAGGATCTGGGTGACGTAGTAGGATCTGGGTGACGTAGTAGGATCTGGGTGACGTAGTAGGATCTGGGTGACGTAGTAGGATCTGGGTGACGTAGTGGGGTCTGGGTGACGTAGTAGGATCTTGGTGACGTAGTAGGATCTTGGTGACGTAGTAGGATCTGGGTGACGTAGTAGGATCTGGGTGACGTAGTAGGATCTGGGTGACGTAGTGGGGTTTAGGTGACGTAGTAGGATCTTGGTGACGTAGTAGGATCTTGGTGACGTAGTAGGATATGGATGACGTAGTAGGATCTGGGTGACGTAGTAGGATATGGGTGACGTAGTAGGATATGGGTGACGTAGTAGGATCTGGGTGACGTAGTAGGATCTGGGTGACGTAGTAGGATCTGGGTGACGTAGTAGGATCTGGGTGACGTAGTGGGGTCTGGGTGACGTAGTAGGA